CATCATTCGTTCAACAGATGTTTTGACAGATGTTTTGACAGATGTCTTGACAGATGTTCAGAGACAGCTGTACTGACCTCTCTCAACTGAGACATCAACTTCCCACCCCCTCTTCTCCCTCCCCCCCAGAATACAGCTAATGTATTGGATAACTGCTGGTTGTATGTGTGTGTGTGTGTGTGTGTGTGTGTGTGTGTGTGTGTGTGTGTGTGTGTGTGTGTGTGTGTGTGTGTGTGTGTGTGTGTGTGTGTGTGTGTGTGTGTGTCTAGGCTGGTTAAGGACTCGTGTGTACCTCTGTGCTGTTAGGAAAGGTGTGCATTTTGTTCTGGTTTTTACTGGTGTTGTTTGTTACTGGTGTTGTTTGTTACTGGTGTTGTTTGTTACTGGTGTTGTTTGTTACTGGTGTTGTTTGTTACTGGTGTTGTATTTGTTTACTGTGTTGTATGTTTTGTTACTGGTGTTGTTTGTTACTGATGTTACTTGTTACTGGTGTTACTTGTTACCGGTGTTACTTGTTACTGGTGTTATTTGCTACTGGTGTTATTTGCTACTGGTGTTACTTGCTACTGGTGTTACTTGTTACTGGTGTTACTTGTTACTGGTGTTATTTGCTACTGGTGTTACTTGTTACTGGTGTTATTTGCTACTGGTGTTACTTGTTACTAGTGTTGCTTATTACTGGTGTTACTTGCTACTGGTGTTACTTGCTACTGGTGTTATTTGCTACTGGTGTTACTTGTTACTAGTGTTGCTTATTACTGGTGTTACTTGCTACTGGTGTTACTTGTTACTGGTGTTACTTGTTACTGGTGTCACTTGTTACTGGTGTTACTTGTTACTGGTGTTACTTGTTACTGGTGTTACTTGTTACTGGTGTTACTTGCTACTGGTGTTACTTGTTACTGGTGTTACTTGTTACTGATGTTACTTGTTACTGGTGTTACTTGTTACTGGTGTTACTTGCTACTGGTGTTACTTGTTACCGGTGTTACTTGTTACTGGTGTTGTTTATTACTAGTGTTACTTGTTACCGGTGTTACTTGTTACTGGTGTTGCTTGTTACTAATGTTGCTTATTACTGGTGTTACTTGTTACTGGTGTTGCTTGCTACTGGTGTTACTTGTTACTAGTGTTGCTTATTACTAGTGTTACTTGTTACCGGTGTTACTTGTTACTGGTGTTACTTGTTACTGATGTTACTTGTTACTGGTGTTACTTGTTACTGGTGTTACTTGCTACTGGTGTTATTTGTTACTGGTGTTGCTTATTACTGGTGTTACTTGTTACTGGTGTTACTTGCTACTGGTGTTACTTGTTACTGGTGTTGCTTATTAACTGTGTTACGTGTTACTGACTGGTGTGGCTTGTTACAGATGTTATTTGCTACTGGTGTTACTTGTTACTAGTGTTGCTTATTACTGGTGTTACTTGCTACTGGTGTTATTTGCTACTGGTGTTACTTGTTACTGGTGTTACTTGCTACTGGTGTTACTTGTTACTGGTGTTGCTTATTACTGGTGTTACGTGTTACTGACTGGTGTGGCTTGTTACAGATGTTATTTGCTACTGGTGTTACTTGTTACTAGTGTTGCTTATTACTGGTGTTACTTGCCACTGGTGTTATTTGCTACTGGTGTTACTTGCTACTGGTGTTACTTGTTACTGGTGTTACTTGTTACTGGTGTTACTTGCTACTGGTGTTACTTGTTACTGGGGTTACTTGTTACTGGTGTTACTTGTTACTGGTGTTACTTGCTACTGGTGTTACTTGTTACTGGTGTTACTTGTTACTGGTGTTACTTGTTACTGGTGTTACTTGTTACTGGTGTTACTTGCTACTGGTGTTACTTGTTACTGGTGTTACTTGTTACTGGTGTTACTTGTTACTGGTGTTACTTGCTCTTTTACTATGGTGTTACTTGTTACTGGTTTTACTTGTCTTACTGGTGTTACTTGCTACTGGTGTTACTTGTTACTGGTGTTACTTGCTACTGGTGTTACTTGTTACTGGTGTTACTTGCTACTGGTGTTACTTGTTACTTGTTACTGGTGTTACTTGTTACTGGTGTTACTTGTTACTGGTGTTACTTGCTACTGGTGTTACTTGTTACTGGTGTTACTTGTTACTGGTGTTACTTGTTACTGGTGTTACTTGTACTGGTGTTACTTGTTACTGGTGTTACTTGTTACTGGTGTTACTTGTACTGGGTGTATGTGTTATGTTACTGTTACTGGTGTTACTTGTTACTGGTGTTACTTGTTACTGGTGTTACTTGCTACTGGTGTTACTTGTTACTTGTTACTGGTGTTACTTGTTACTGGTGTTACTTATTACTGGTGTTACTTGTTACTAGTGTTACTTGTTACTGGTGTTACTGCTAGTCTTGGTGATGTTATGGTGTTACTGTTAGTGTGGTTGAGTTGGTGTTTGGTTAGCTGGGTGTGGTGATGGTGAGTGGTGTTTGGTGATGTGAGGTGTGTTAGTGTGTAGTGGTGGTGTTGTGATGGAGGTGGTGGGTTGTATGTGGGGGTGGTTGGTGTAGATGGAGGTGGTGTGGTGATGGTGGAGGTGGTGGTGTTGGTGATGGGGAGGTGGTGGTTGTGATGTGGAAGGTGGTGTTGGTGATGGTGGAGGTGTGTGTTGGTGATGGTGGAGGGTGTTATTAGTGTGGTGGAGTGGTGTTGGTGATGGTGGAGGTGGTGTGTTGGTGATGGTGGAGGTGGTGGTGTTGGTGATGTTGGAGGGGTGTTGGTGATGGTGGAGGTGGTTGTTGGTGATGGTGGAGGGTGTTTGGTAGTGATGGTGGAGTGGTGGTTGGTGATGGTGGAGGTGGTGGTTGGTGATGGTGGAGGTGGTGTGTTGGTGATGGTGGAGGTGGTTTGTAGTGATGGTGGAAGTGGTGGTGTTGGTGATGTTGGAAGTGGGTGTTGGTTATGTGTGGTGGTGGTGCTGATGGGGGAGGTGGGGGTTGGTGATGATGGAGTGGTGTGTTGGTGATGTGGTGTGTTGGTGATGGTATGATGGGGATGGTGGCGTTGGTGATGGTGGAGGTGGTGTTGGTGATGCTGGAGGAGGTGTTGAGCTGAGGTGTATGAATGTTGGTAATGGTTGTAGGTGGTGGTGTTGGTGATGGTGGAGGTGGTGGTGGAGGTTGTGTTAGTGATGGTGGTGGTGCTGATGGAGGTGTTGGTGATGGTGGAGGTGTTGGTGGATGTGGTGGTGTTGGTGGATGTGGTGGTGTTGATGATGGTGAAGATGGTGGTGGAGACTGGGGTCCAGGAGACACAGCTCAACACACACACACAGTTCTCCAACTCTTCAAGGTCCACACTCCTGCACTAAATCATAACAACCTTTACTCAGACCTTAACAATACTTTTCCTGACACAGAACCCTGCGATAGCGACCAGACGTAATATTAATCTCATTTAAGATAGAAGGAGCACTGCAGAAGGCCTAATGGCCCATGCTAGGCAGTACAAAATATCCCGTGAGTACCTAGCGAGAACGAACCGAAAGGGCCAGTCATCGCATCGCCACAGTCGAACGTTGACTGTTGGCAACCAACAGCGTCAGTTATGCAATTGGATGGAAAGTGAGTCCGTGAAGTCGAAGTCTTTAAAAGAGGTCAAGTTCGCATCAAGATGGGGCATTCACTGCAGTCATGACGTACAACTTGGTGGAGGAGTGTTTCTGGGGTGAGTACCTCCTCCAGGCAACACCAGGTGGTACAGGGGGAGTGTTGCTGGGGTGAGTACCTCATCCAGGCAACACCAGGTGGTACACGGGGAGTGTTGCTGGGGTGAGTACCTCCTCCAGGCAACACCAGGAGGTACAGGGGAGTGTTGCTGGGGTGAATACCTCCTCCAGGCAACACCAGGTGGTACAGGGGGAGTGTTGCTGGGGGTGAATACCTCCTCCAGGCAACACCAGGTGGTACAGGGGGAGTGATGCTGGGGTAACTCCTCCAGGCAACACCAGGTGGTACAAGGGAAGTGTTGCTGGAGTGAATACCTCCTCCAGGCAACACCAGGTGGTACAGGGGGAGTGTTGCTGGGGGTGAATACCTCCTCCAGGCAACACCAGGTGGTACAGGGGGAGTGTTGCTGGGGGTGAATACCTCCTCCAGGCAACACCAGGTGATACAGGGGGAGTGATGCTGGGGTAACTCCTCCAGGCAACACCAGGTGGTACAAGGGAAGTGTTGCTGGAGTGAATACCTCCTCCAGGCAACACCAGGTGGTACAGGGGGAGTGTTGCTGGGGGTGAATACCTCCTCCAGGCAACACCAGGTGGTACAGGGGGAGTGATGCTGGGGTAACTCCTCCAGGCAACACCAGGTGGTACAGGGGGAGTGATGCTGGGGTAACTCCTCCAGGCAACACCAGGTGGTACAGGGGGAGTGATGCTGGGGTAACTCCTCCAGGCAACACCAGGTGATACAGGGGGAGTGATGCTGGGGTAACTCCTCCAGGCAACACCAGGTGATACAGGGGGAGTGATGCTGGGGTAACTCCTCCAGGCAACACCAGGTGATACAGGGGGAGTGATGCTGGGGTAACTCCTCCAGGCAACACCAGGTGATACAGGGGGAGTGATGCTGGGGTAACTCCTCCAGGCAACACCAGGTGATACAGGGGGAGTGATGCTGGGGTAACTCCTCCAGGCAACACCAGGTGATACAGGGGGAGTGATGCTGGGGTAACTCCTCCAGGCAACACCAGGTGATACAGGGGGAGTGATGCTGGGGTAACTCCTCCAGGCAACACCAGGTGATACAGGGGGAGTGATGCTGGGGTAACTCCTCCAGGCAACACCAGGTGATACAGGGGGAGTGATGCTGGGGTAACTCCTCCAGGCAACACCAGGTGATACAGGGGGAGTGATGCTGGGGTAACTCCTCCAGGCAACACCAGGTGATACAGGGGGAGTGATGCTGGGGTAACTCCTCCAGGCAACACCAGGTGGTACAGGGGGAGTGATGCTGGGGTAACTCCTCCAGGCAACACCAGGTGATACAGGGGGAGTGATGCTGGGGTAACTCCTCCAGGCAACACCAGGTGATACAGGTAACACAAGAGTGAAGAACAACTATAACTACCTACAACTATGTCAGAAAATCCTTGAGCTCTGATGCACATACAAGTGCGACTATCTTCACTACCCAGCGGTAGTAAAGATCGGTACAGGTAATATATTATTATTATTAGTATTATTATTAGTATTATTAGTATTATTAGTAGTATTAGTATATTTACAATTCTTTGGTTAAAAAGAAAAAAAAAATTCTCTTAGAATCCTTACAAGACCTAATTGTCAACCATATCGTGGAAACTTTGGAAAATGAGCCTTGGTGCCCTCTGGCAGAAGGCCCGGAATTCAAGTGGTGATGTCAGCAGGGCCGGGTCGAGGCCCTGTGGTCCGTCGGAGCGACGCACAGTGTTTCAAGCGATATCACCGTTCAGAGTATTTTTATACTACTCATTAAGGAGGGGGAGGGAGGGTAGGGGAGGGACGGGGGAAAAGATTGGAGGGGAGGGGTCAAAAAACTTAAGCTAGTTTTGTACAAAGTGACCTGACCTTCCTGGATTTCACTGTCACGACGTGACCTTCCTGGATTTCAATGTCACGACCTGACCTTCCTGGATTTCGCAGTCATGACCTTACTTTCATATACTACACAGTCATGACATGACCTTCACATCCTACATAATCATGGCCTAACCTTCATAACCAACGGTCATGACCTGACCTTCACATCCTACAGTCATGACATGACCTTCATAACCAACGGTCATGACCTGACCTTCATAACCAACGGTCATGACCTGACCTTCACATCCTACACAGAGGAAAGCCGTAAATCACAATTGTCATTATTTATAAAATTCTTTATCTTTCCTGGTCTCATCTATGTCATTCGTGGCCTCCTAAGAGGTCACTGTGCCTGAGGTCACAACGTTCCAAAATGAGGTTGACCTGAGGTCACAACGAGAGCAAGGGCACTGTATAAGTCACTTTCTTGACGTTATGACTAGTGGTTCAATTTGGCCGACCCCTGATGCCCTCTGCTCCTGGAGTGCCAGGGCCATTAAGGGCTCTGGCACTGCCCGTGGCTCCTCCAGCAGTGCACCAGCAGTGTACACGCACACATATATCACTGATATGTACGACAACTGTGACCGTCCACCGTCTCACTGTCGGTATCCCACGGTGGGCGTCACTGCGTCAGCTGACGGGTAGCTTGGTGGGCGTGAGCGGCAGCATAGGCGTAGCTATACGCCCACGAGGGACCCGGTGCCACCCATCTGTCGCCTGCGTCGCCCTGGTCCGTCCAGAGTGGGCGGGGGGTGGGCGGGCAGGGGGCGGTGTTTGAGACGGTGTTGGGTGATAGGCGATTCCCCTGTTGCTGCTGTTGCTGCTGGTGGTGCTGCTGGTGCTGGTGGTGGGCGGAGCGGGTGGGCATGTCCAGGCCCGGGCGGGCACCAGGGGAGGCCATCCACTACGGGACGGGCGTGTGCGGGGGCATGGGCGAAGTCATCATGGTGCCCATGGAGGTGTGGACGTTGCCTCCGGCCATCTGCTTCTGGGTGGCGGCGAATTTCATCCTCTTTTGTTTCTGCCGTTGATTGCAGAACCACACGCGAACCACGTTCTTCTTCAGGTCCAGTTTCTCCGCGATGGCCGCGATCTTCTCCCCCGAAGGTCGCGGCTGGACCGCGAAGTACGCCTCCAGAGACCTCTTCTCCGGCGCCGCGATGGATGTTCTCTTGCGCTTCTGGGAGCAACAAGAAAACAAGTGTCATAGCCTCTTCCCGAACTGCTGCCTGCAACAGCAACACTGTTGTTGCTGCTCACAACAACAGTGTTGCCGTTGCTGCTGTTTGCACTAACACATAAACACACGGGAGGACACAAAACACTCACAAATAGAAAAGACGATAAATCCGTTTTAAAACAGATAAAATCCATATTAATCACACAGTATTTGTCAAATACCAAGAGTGGCCTCGCTAACTACACTACACAGCCCCTAGCTTTTATCCAGGGTGTGTACTGGGAGAGACAGAGCCTACCAGTACACTGGGAGAGTGTTGGGATGAGGTTACAGACAGACTGGAAGGTCAGTACCTCACTCGGGTTGTACTGGGGGAAGGTTACACTGATCCTAGAGGCCATTTAGGTTTATAGGGAAGAGAAAAGGCGACTGGGAAGCACTGGACATAGAGGTGTAACAGTGACATGACTGGAGATAAGTGCACAACGTTTTAGAATGGACTTTTACCGGGGCTACGTTTCGCTCGGGGCTGGGCGAAATGTCGTCCAAGAAGAACTTAACTCAGAATATATGGAAGAGACACATACACACGCATATATGTATGTATATACATATATATATATATATATGTATATATGTATTAGAAGCTGTTGACTTACCTGTTCTGGGCTTTTCTAGGGTTCCATCAACACCCACACTAGGGCTCCAAAAGTGCACACATGAGGGCTCCAAAAGTGCACACACTAAGGCTCCCCAGTGCACACTAAGGTTCCACCAGTGCACACACAGTTAAGAACGTTCACTACTAAAAACATGCGTCCTAACGCAGAAACAACTGTGTATAGTGGCGGAGTCAGGTGGCAGACTGTGAGAGGGTGATAGTAGGAGCAGAGGTAGTAGTAGTAGTAGTAGTAGTAGTAGTAGTAGTAGTAGTAGTAGTAGTAGTAGTAGTAGTAGTAGTAGTAGTAGTAGTAATGGTACAATTGTTGATAAATTACTCACATGTACAACAATTGAGTATATTGTGGTAAGGTTTTGTCCACATATTGGCTTCATCAGTCCAATACCGAGAAGAACAGTTAGGATCAGAAGGGTGAAAATAAATGGTATAAAATACCGTCACAATGGAAACATAAACACGTATGCAGTTTAATGTGATCCTTTATGGACAACGTTTCGCCCACACAGTGGGCTTTTTTAAGTCACACACAGATCTACATGACTATAAATACTCACGTACCTTCCACCCCAGGTAGGTCTGTTTGTGACTTGAAGAAGCCCACTGTGTGGGCGAAACGTTGTTCATAAAGGATCACATTAAACTGCATATGTGTTCATGTTTCCAAGATCAGAAGGAGTTTGAGGTAATCTGTTGACTGACTGATTATATTGAATCCAGGCTAAGGGACTGATTACCTCGGTCTCCTTCTGATCTTCAGTATTCTTTGTTCTAGACTGATGAAGCTACTGTGTGCCAAAACGTTTCCACAGTAAAGATACACAAGTATTGCACATGTCAAACCATACCCCCGGCCGGGATTGAACCCGCGGTCATAGAGTCTCAAAACTCCAGCCCGGGGGTATGGTTTGTTTGCAATCGTGTCATTACGATTTCTTGAGTCATATTGCACATGTGTCTGCTTTATTAACTTGTTGGTTCTCTGAGCTATTAATCTTCACTAGTACAAGAGTGTTGAGATGGCATGGGTTTGAGAACGAACTTGTCAGCATGGGCCAGTAGACAATGCTGTGGCGTTCCTCTATACGCTGCATCGTGTTACGGCGGTTCTCCATAATGGGCAGTATCCCGTTGATCAACAGTTTGTATATGGTGGATTGTTTGTGGTGTTACTGAACTTCGTAATGTGTCCAACATCGTCTCCGTGTTGGACACATGAGCTTGTATACTGGTCAAGGTTGCAGACGTTCCTGTGCTCACTGATAGAGGAACGTTGCAACATTACCTACTGGCTTGACAGTGCTCCTGTCATTATGAAATTGAGACACATGTGCAACATCTGGGTATCTTTATTGTAGACGTTTCGCCATCCAGTGGCTTTATCAATACAAATTCCAGGACATAACTAGAAGACAGGAGAACTATGTACAGAAGATGAGGTAATCAGTCCCTCAACCTAGCAGTAGGTGCGATGAGCACCATAGTCGTGAAGATAGTTCTCCTGTCTTCTAGTTATGTCCTGGAATTTGTATTGATAAAGCCACTGGATGACGAAACGTCTACAGTAAAGATACCCAGATGTTGCACATGTGTCTCAATTTCATCTTGTCGGTATTGTATACCATTCTTGTACAATTACCACATCAGTTCCACATGTGTCTTTTTAACTAAGGTACTACTGGCCCATGCTTCCAGGTCCCTCTCAAAACTTACCCATCTCAACACAGGTGTACTACCACTACTACTAGTACTGCTGTTACTACCTGTGGAGCAGCTTGCCCCTGACTACCGCTACTAGTACTCGGTTGTCTCTGTATGAAGACTGCGGAAACCACTCGTAGGGAAGCGTCCCCCTGTAGTGAATATTCCGAACTACTCACAAAAACAGTGGTTTTCCACATCTTGTCGGCATCACCATACCATTTACTTTCGCTACCACTACTCCAACACTACTCCATCACTACTCCAACACTACTCCAACATCAACAAACAACAGCTAGGGGAATTATAACATTAGAAAACTTTCATTCTGTAAAAAGGGCAAGCGTCTCCTCTTGCCTCTTCGTGCATAACTGATCTACAGGGCTATGGTTACCACCTAACCTGTCTTCACTAACCTGTTAGTTATCTAACTTGGCTATATTAAAGTTTTCCCCCATGCTGACCTGGCTATATGTGTGTGTGTGTGTGTGTGTGTGTGTGTGTGTGTGTGTGTGTGTGTGTGTGTGTGTGTGTGTGTGTGTGTGTGTGTGTGTGTGTGTGTGTGTGTGTCTGTGTGTCTGTGTGTCTGTGTACGTCAATACCCAAGAGGTTCGGTTGAGTCATCTCAATGGCATCTTTGAATAAATAAAAGGATAAAGAACGTTTTGGCCAAGATTTGTGCCGCCTGGGTCAACAGAACACCACTGATGGTGTTCACCAATAAACAGAACACCACTGATGGTGTTCACTGAACCCAACACCACTGACAGTGTTCACTACTGAACCGAACACCACTGATGGTGTTCACCACTAAATCGAAAACCACTACAGACAGTATTCCCCAATAAACCAAACACCACTGACAGTACTCAACAATAAACCGAACATCACTAGCAGTACTCACCAATAAACCGAACACCACTAGCAGCGCTCAATAATAAACCGAACACCAATGACAGTACTCACCAATAAACCGAACACCACTAGCAGTACTCACCAATAAACCGAACGCCACTGGCAGTACTCACCAATAAACTGAACACACACTGGCAGTACTCACCAATAAACCGAACACCACTAGTAGTACTCACCAATAAACCGAACACACACTGGCAGTACTCACCAATAAACCGAACACACACTGGCAGTACTCGTCAATAAACCGAACACCACCAGTATTACTCACCAATAAACCGAACACTACTAGCAGTACTCACCAATAAACCGAACACACACTGGCAGTACTCACCAATAAATCGAACACTACTAGCAGTACTCACCAATAAACCGAACGCCACTGGCAGTACTCACCAATAAACTGAACACACACTGGCAGTACTCACCAATAAACCGAACACCACTAGTAGTACTCACCAATAAACCGAACACACACTGGCAGTACTCACCAATAAACCGAACACACACTGGCAGTACTCGTCAATAAACCGAACACCACCAGTATTACTCACCAATAAACCGAACACCACTAGCAGTACTCACTAATAAATCGAACACCACTAGCAGTACTCACCAATAAACCGAACACCACTAGTACTCACTAATAAATCGAACACCACTGGCAGTACTCACCAATAAACCGAACACACACTGGCAGTACTCACCAATAAACCGAACACACACACTGGCAGTACCCACCAATAAACCGAACACACACTGGCAGTACTCACCAATAAACCGAACACACACACTGGCAGTACTCACCAATAAACCGAACACCACGCAGTACCTCACCAATAAACCGAACACACACTAGCAGTACTCACCAATAAACCGAACACACACTGGCAGTACTCACCAATAAACCGAACACACACACTGGCAGTACTCACCAATAAACCGAACACACACTGGCAGTACTCACCAATAAACCGAACACACACTGGCAGTACTCACCAATAACCGAACACCACTAGCAGTACCACCAATAAACCGAACACACACTGCAGTACCACCAATAAACCGAACACACACACTGCAGTACTCACCAATAAACCGAACACCACTGCAGTACTCACCAATAAACCGAAACACCACTGCAGTACTCACCAATACACCGAACACACACTAGGCAGTACTCACCAATAAACCGAACACCACTAGCAGTACTCACCAATAAATCGAACATCAGTAGCAGTACTCACCAATAAACCGAACACCACTAGCAGTACTCACCAATAAACCGAACACACACTGGCAGTACTCACCAATAAACCGAACACACACTGGCAGTACTCACCAATAAACCGAACACCACTAGCAGTACTCACCAATAAACCGAACACACACTAGCAGCACTCACCAATAAACCGAACACACACTAGCAGTACTCACCAGTAAACCGAACACACACTAGCAGCACTCACCAATAAACCGAACACACACTAGCAGTACTCACCAATAAACCCGAACACCATCATTCAACTCCCCCATCCCCCTCCCCCCTCCACCCCCCTCCCTCCCCCTCCTCCTACCTCCATCATTACTAAAAAAAATGATAACTTCCATTTTTTTACATCAATTGCTCTTACTTTGTCGTGAAAAAAATTCTGAACAATAAGGCAGCCATTATGCAAATGAATTTAGACTCGTTGTGAGTGAA